CCACAGAAAAGTGCCCCACTCGACTACCTTTTCCCCCCCCCCCCCCCGGCACTTTGCCCAAAACTGTCCAGAGTTGTTTGGGGCTCAGAGCCCGGTGACTTTAGCTATTCTGAGGTCCACAGAACCCCCAAAGGAAGAGAGCCCCCTCATTTCCCGTGACCCTCCCAAGGGGCTGTCGGCCCCCCAATGTTGTCCCTCCGTGTTCAGGAAATTAGAAAGAACGGGCCAGGAGAGCTTGCAGGCCGGTGCCCGCCGTGCAATGGCCTTCTGTGGCTGGGGGGGGGGGGGAGGCTCCCCCCCCCCCCCNGTTGTAGTCTTGTTGGAGAGCTGGGTGTGGCTGAGCAAGTGAGTGGGTGGGAGGCGATTGGCTGCGGCCTCATTTCCTCCCCTGGCGGCCAAGCTGGCTGCGTTTGCCTCTCTGGCTGGAAAGCCTCCCCTCCGAGCCCCATCGGAGAGGTGTGGCTCTTGGCGGCGGTTTCTGGAGGCCTGCAGCAGCTGGATTGCATCTGGCTTCCGCCCAGACAGCCTTCCAGTCCAGATTCATCAGCAAGGAGGTCCTGTCGCCCGGGCCAGCGCTGCTCCCAGCCCCCCCCCAAATCACGTCCTGCTTGCCCCCGACGCCTGGCAGCCGTGGCTTTCTCTGCCCATCTAGCTTTGGAGCGGCCAGTTACGGCCTCCCAGAGAGGAGGAGAAGGAGAACAGGAGGACCTCTGGGGCGAAAGGGGGCAGCCAAGGGGAGAAAAGACAGTGTTTCTGCCAGAGGAAAAGGAGCGTTCTGGCCCTGGAAAGCGGGGCAGGGACAGTCCGGACGTCCGGCTGCTCCAAGGCGCTTCCCCTTTGCCCCCTGCCAGTTGTGCTTGCTGACCGAGCCTCCCCTTCTCTCCCCTCCACCCAGGCTGGTACACTCCGGCTCAGGCCACAGGTCCCCCTGCATGGGATCGGACCTCGCGTTTGCCACGCGGACCGGCTCTCGGCAGGGCATCGAGATGCACGTCTTCCGCGTGGAGACCCACCGGGATCTCTCCTCCTGGACCCGGATCCTGGTGCAAGGCTGCCATGCTGCTGCAGAGCTGGTCAAGGAGGTGTCCGTAGGTGAGCCGCCCGCCCGCCTGCCCGCTCCCCGTTCCGTGTAGGTGAGCCGCCCGCCCGCCCGCCTGCCTGCCTGCTCCCCGTTCCATGGATCTCTGGGCTCCCCTTGAGATCTGCGAAGGGAGTCTTGCGGCTGCTTGGTCAGGCTCCAGCCTTGCAGCTGGGGAGGAGAGGCAGCAGGGACCCCCCAAACCACCACCCGTGTGTGTCCCCTTTGTGCTGCTGGTGCAAAGGCCGGTCTGGGTCAGGGGCTGCTCCCTTTCCTCTTTTGTGAAACATGCCATTCACAGCCTTGGCGGAAAAACCTGCTCTGAAGGCCCCCTGGGCCATGAGCACAGAAGCTCCTGAATCTTCTGCTAGAGAGGCGGGCGACATACGCGCTAGCAGGTCGGGAGACTCGCCCCTCTGGCTGGAAGAAGGCGGGCTGTGGGGTGCATGTCATCCGCCATGGGGCTGGGACCAAAGGGTGGGCTTCCAAGGAGGGGAAATCTGAGCCTGCCCTGGGCATCCTTCTTCGGAAGCACGATGAACTCCCTCGGGGTAGGAATAAGAAGCGCCGGCAACCTGCAGAAAAGGGTCCGGCCACGGCGAAGGTCTTTGTCTCTCGGGCTCCCTCTAGAGTCCATAAGCGTTCTGCGAAAGTGCCTGGCCGAGCGTGGAAGGGGAGGCGTCTTCTCTTCCTGGGTTTCTCGAGAAGGAAAGAAGCGCCAAACCAGGCCACCTCACACCGTCATTTCCCCGGGCGGCCCAGACGTCCCGAGCCGAGATGGATGGCCGTGGTCAGAGGGGGAAGCTCTGTGGCTCTGCCCGGGCAAAACACGATGGGCAGGATGGATTCTTTCGGTTGTGAGAATGGCGCTTAAGGCGGCCAAGGGTGGGGCTGAGGCTTAGCTTCTTCCCTCGCGCGGGCCAGCCGCTGACTCCTCTTCCTTTGCACCCTTCCGGACTAGGCTGCGTCTGGAACAACCAGGAGGTCCGGCTCACGATACACTACGAGAACGGTTTCACCCTTTCCAGGGAGGAAGCGGGTTCCTCTGGTGTCCTTTTCCGGTACCCTTTTGAGAAACTGAAAATGTCTGCGGACGATGGGATCCGGAACCTCTATTTGGATTTTGGAGGGCCAGAAGGGGAGCTGGTGAGTTAAAGGGCGGTCACTTCCAGTATTAGAAGGAGAAAACCCCAAAACCTGAAACACGGCAGTGGCCTGGGGGGGGGAGGGGAATGGAACTGCCCCCATGCAGTCTAGAGAGCAATTTGGGGGGTGGGGGAGAATTTGGTAGGTTGCACGTAGCCATGGGTCATCGGCCACACTTTGCCCACCCTTATGTCTTTAGATACTCTGGAGTACTGAAGCTGCTTTAGGCCATTCTGTCGGTTGGTTTAATAACAATTACACGAATAACTTGCCGTATCCGACTGGCCAAAGCAAGTCTCCTTAGAGTTTGGCTGAAAACAGATCCCTCAGTACAGCATATGATTTACAAATTATTTACACCCAGCAGGAGTGAGGGGCAGTGTCCCCCACTACCTGGATTTCTAGCCCTCCATCCCATACCAGGGCCACTAAGTTTCACGACCCCGCCTGGGAACAGACCACGGCGGGCCCTGCACCCTCCTTTCCGCAGCCGCCAGCTGGATTCATCCAGAAAGCCGGACACAACAAGGGGGCGTGCGTCTCCTCTCGCTTCTGCCATTCGTTGGCATGTCCCCTCCGAGCGTGTCAGCTGCATTTAGCTCCTCTTCCCCCATCCGGTCTGGACCTGGACAGGATTTCTTTTGAAGCTGCCTGAGCTCCCGGCCAACACAACCGCTCCGTGTTGTGGCAAAGGGTTCCACAGACTCCTTTTGCTCTCTGTGAAGAGCGTCCGTCCGCCTGTCCTGAATCCACAGCCAGGTCCTCGGACCTGGGGGTGCCCCTCCTGATACTTTGGGGGTAAAGGCACAATGTTGGAGAATTTGATTCTCCCATCAGGCCTGATCCTGTTAGCCTCTGCCGGTGGTGCTGGATAAGACCCACAATTTGCAGAGAGTGCAGGAGCATTTCAGAGTCCCGATGGTGTAAGTCCGGCGATAAGGAGAGGAGGAGTCAAACCCCTCCTTTGCTTTCAAGTGGCCCGAGTCGCGAGTCTTTACATTTGTTTTTCTTTTCTCTTCTGCTGTTTTTCCTTTTGGGGGAACCAGACCCTGGAGCTACACTCCTGCCCGAAACCCATCGTCTTTGTGTTGCACACGTTCCTCTCGGCCAAAGTGACCCGCCTGGGCCTGCTCGTCTAGGAGCCGCGGAGGGGGCGCCACGAGGTTGGCAGCAGCCATGAAAAAATAGCACAATCGCCCCCCACCACCTTGGCGCTCTCCTCCGCCAGCACCAGTGCCTTTGACCAAGACTTGGGAGCGGCGGCTGCCCGGGAGGTGCGTCGCCCTTAGAAGAACTTCGACTGGGCGCTGTGTCTCTCCCAGGAATTGCCCTCCTGGGAGAGAAGTCGTGGCAGGAGGAGGGAGAGAGAACAGCGAAGGGAGACCAGGAAGTGCCCGCCTGGGGCTCACCTTGGCTCTGACCCTCCTTCGTTGGCTGCCCCATTGAGCCTCTTGCTGTGTGAACTGCCCCCACAGACCGAGGTGGAGTGGGTCCCAAACGTGGGGTGCTGCGAAGCCGTTTCCCCCCCCCCCATACCACTTACCAAGTGTGCCTTTCGAAGAAGCAGAAGGAAGAGGGAGGCAAACTTTTGTGGCCGGCGAGAGCCAAGACGCAGGGAGCAGGCTGGACCCTGTTCTTTCCCGCTTGGCTGTGCCAGGCGTGTCTCGAGGCCGGATCTCATGCAGCGATCAAGAGAGAGGCCGGGCTCTCCCCAATCCTTCTGTCCTGACTTCTTTTTTAATTGTGCAGTGCAGGACTTTGCCCCAGCTGACAAACCCCTAAGTGTTGGAGGGGGGCAGTTTATGCAGGAGAACCAGTCAGGCCAAATGGAGTAGCAGGGGTCCTCTGTTTGTCCTCCTGGGGTTTGATGTCCGAGGATCAGCAAGTGCAGTGCTGTGCTTTGTGGCTTTACCGTGACGGAGAGGGAGTGCTCTGCTCTGTGGAGGACCTCCCCAGCCCCCAAGATCTGCCTTGCCCCCCCCCCAGTGCTGGCTGCGTAGGTGGCTTGGGTGCGGTGGGACCTGCAAACCTGTCGGCCCCACCAGGTCTGGGGAGAGGAGCGAGATGAATCGGGGCCTCCAAAAGACCGGGAGCAGCACCACGGATTGAAACGCAAGATGGCCAGCCTCTGCCGAGCAGGCACACCCTCCTCCGCCCCCGCCCCCCGTTGAGGCTCCAGGCTCATCCTGTGCACCTTTGTGTTCATTTGCACTCGTGGGGAGGCGAGGGCTTCCGCGGCTAGTAGCTGGGGTGCTCCAGCCAGCCCCCGCCCCCTGTCTCCGGCTTGCCCCGTTGCCCATTTCCTCTGTAGCATGTCTGGGGAGCCAAGATAACGTGTGGGCAGCTGTTCTGAGCCTCTTTGGCCAGAATATTCTCAGGTTACCCTGCAGTGGATATTCTCAGCTTGGGGAGAAGAGCAGCTGCTTTTCATGCTGGGGTTTCTGTCTTGGAACTCTTGTAGTGCTAGGGACGGGGGGCGCGCAGTCTGGATCCCTCCCAAGCGCCGGCCACGCCTTTTCCCAACCCGGTGCCTTCCAGATGGGTTGGGCTATAATACCCAGCGTCCCTGCCAGCCTGGCCACCTGGAGGGCAACGGATTTTAGGGAAAGTGGCTGTTGTGTACCACTCGGCGACCCTGACAGCCTCAGAGCTGAACAGAGTTCTTTCCCCTAAAGCCTTAAAGTGAGAAACCCTTCCTCCGCCACCACGCTCTTTCTTCTCTTGGAGACACACGACACATCCGTTCAGAGAGTTTGAAACCCCATCGGTCATACTGTTCAGCCGCTTCCTGGTTTGCAAGGTTCCACCAGCCCGCACCCCCTGGGGAGTGGATCTGCCTTTCTCATGAGGGCTAGAAACTTCTTTCTTAAACCAGTTGCATTAGAGAACACACAGCCTTGCTTTTCAAGACAAAGCCATCAGCGACCCCCAGGATCACAGGCTTGTTTGGTGCTGGAGAGAATGTGTTGGAATGAGAATACAGAGGTGTGTGTGTGTGTGGAGGGGGTGGAGGTTACAGAAAGAAGTGAGAGGTTTTTCCTGGTGGGGTCGGAGCCCAGATGTGGCTAGCGGGCCCTGTGCTGTCCAGATGTTCCTCTTGACAGTAAGAGATTGGTTTTGGGAAAGGGAGAAAAGGCCAGTGTGTGAGAGAGAGAGCGAAGGACCTTATTTCCAGTCTCTATTGCAGGAACTGGAGAATATTTGACCTTGATCTTTAAAGACCAAGAGAGGAAGCTTGTGTTCCCAAAAGAGATCATTTATCCCCAAAGGGTGAGGAGAATGTTGTGCATGCCAGATGGCCCTGCACGAGCATGCAGGTAGAAGCCAGGTTTCCAGGAGCGCTTGAGAAGCGGAGGTCAGAGGTAAGCGACCTCCAGCTTAGGGACAGCAAACGGCAAGAGGAATCGGTAAACGGTGGTCGGCTGTAGAAAGTAGCTTTTTCCAACCCCCGTCTGTCCTTCCAGATGTTCTTGACGGACAGCTCTCCCGATCCCTCCAGTCCCGGAGATGATGGGACACGGCAGTCCGAAACATCTGAAGGCCACCTGGGTGTGGAAGCCGGGTCTGTTTGGAGCAGATTGGATTCTGCTCCCCCAAGACATTCTGAACTGTTTGCAGTCAGGTTAAGCGTGTGGCGTGGAGTCCCATCGATGTGCAACCTTGAGAGTTTGTGGGAAGCCAGAAAGATGTGTGGTAGGGTGATTGCCAGAGGGAAGGGCAAGAGGGAAGGAAACCTCCGGAGTTAGAGGTGGGAGAGAGGTTTGGCCCGGTCAAAGAGGGCGAGATTACTTTTCCCTAGGTCCTTCCTCGTCACACCTCTCCTCGGGGTCTTTGAGCCACGGCGGCTAAAAGCTTAAGTTTGAAGCTTTCCAATTGAGCCGGCCTCTGTTCTGGAGTCCTCCCTAGGACAGGAGAAAACAGGGCAGTTTTTTCTATGGTGCTTTGGACAGCAGCTCACAGAATTCCACCGCTGGCACTTCCGTGCAGCCCACCTCATGGGCACCGACAGATTTCAGAGGGTGCAACGTGTTGAGCTCAAGTCTCTCTTGTTGTCCAAGCACTGAGTTGGTGGTAAATCTGGAAAAGTTCACGTCTGCCGAAACGTAGGAGACAGGTGAAGCCGGAGGCTAGGATTGGCACCAAGGCATGTGTTTCCAGGTGGTTCTCCTCCCATCAAACCAGCATTTCCTATTCAGCATTTAGTTCAGTATAGGCTGAGAAAACGTCTCGTTTTAAGAGGGGCTTAATGGAGATCTTGTGAAATAAAACCCTGCAATGAACTCTTGTGTCATGCAAACATGAGGAACGTTTATAATCCCCCCCCTCCAGAGGAATGAGTGCTTGCAGCTTAGTAGTGCAATTTCCACTCTGAGCCCATTCCCCCCCCCCGTTTTTGGGTGGTGTTTTTGGGCCGATTCTTATGGAGGGAGGGCCGCTTATCCCTTTCAGGGGTTCGTGTATCAAGACAGGCGAGTGATCAAGACGAGATTTAGATGACGGGCATTCCCCGCCATCCACTTTTGTGCTTGTTTCTCGCCGCTCTCTGCCCCGACCAACCTCCAGCATCAAGAGAGACCGGCTGGATCATTCTGTGCAACCCCGTGGCAGAAGGAGTAGGAAATGGATTTGCAGGCAGGGAGGAGATGGTTCTTGGGTTTCGTTTCTCCTTCTGTAAAACCAATTCTTGGGTTCTCTCTCTCCTTCTGCAAGGTTTTTTTGTGATGACATAATTCTTCTTTGTGGCTTCTGTGAATGCACACACAACTGGGTTGGCTGGCTGTGGATGGGCCACTTCTGGGGTTTTCCTGTCTGCTGCCAAGCACCAGTCGGGCGTTTACAGTTTGGGCAAATGCAACTCTTTAGTGCCAAAGACAAGATCTTCTTTGTAAGGTCTCTTAAAGTAATTTGCACAGAAACCACTACAACAAATTTGTCTGTCTATGCTGTGCGTCCACACGTTTGATATACTCTAATCTTGAGTGCTGAAGGCACAGTCCGTCATACTGCCACAATCAATCTAAAATGTACAACCAAGTTTATTTTTGTATTCTTTGTAAATGGTATTTATACAGGAAGGACCTCTCTCTTTTGCTCTCAAATGCTGGAGATTCCAGGTTACCAAACCCACACAGACTGACTCAAAAGGGGTCACGATGAAGCTTGGGTGGTGTTTGGCCTTCACCTTAGCAAGGGGTTCTCCAAGAGCCCTAGAGAACACAATGGACAACCGGTCAGCCCTCGAGTTACATGTTAACTGTATAGTATTGTACGTTACAGTGGAAAAGAGACCAAGAGCAAATGTCACCTTTATACGGTGTACAATAAAGGTGTCAATGCTTTTCGTCTGAACTTGCTTGTGTCAGTTGCATCCCTTTGAGTTTGGGTTTTTTGTTTGTTTGTTTTTAATTCCCCATTCTATTTGCTTTAACACGATAGACTCTCTGCTTTTAATACAAAAAATGCATCTTTCCAAATCATTGCATGGGATGTCGTGAGAATGGCTGTGCCAAATGGCATCTGCGTGCAATCAAGTCCCTCTTAAGTTCTGTGGGGCTTCCTTCGTGTATGGAGATTGCAGTTTTGAACACTAAAGTTATAACACAAGCTTTCCTTCCAAACCATAAAGAAATATACCACCATGGTAGCTATTCTGGGTCATTGACGACCACCACATCTGGTTACAGTAAGACCACCAAACCACTGTATTCCTCCACAAAGTACCAAAAACAACAGAATATTGGTTAGCTCTTCCGGTCTTACTAAGTGATCCTCCAGAGACAACACATCCCAGCCTCTTTGGGGCTACAGTCCCAAAGTGTCCTTCAAGCTTCATGGGCAGACCTCACAACACATCCCAGCCTCTTTGGGGCTACATGGGCAGACCTTTTAAGAAAATAATATGACTCGGATCAGTAATGCAGAGATGAAATGAGAAGCAGAGTAACTTCAGTGTGGTTGAGCACAAGGTGGGCAGCTTCCTATTCCGGTGGTTTTCAAGATAAGGTCTCTCCTGTGCTAGGGGGTCTCTCTGACTTGGTTTTCAAGATAAGGTCTCTCCTGTGCTAGGGGGTCTCTCTGACTTGGAAAGCAAGCCTCCGAAACATGCATGCATACCAGAGATCTCATTGTCTGCAGCACTACAGTGTGCAGAGTAATTCTAGAAAGAAAAGAGGCTCACTTGATCCGTAGACTGGCTCTGAGGAAGCCTTCTGGGGCTCTTGGAAAAGGCATTTGTGGTTGGTTCTGAAAAAGGTATTACGACGGGCATTTTATTTTTTTTCAATATGTTCTGAGGAGCATCCCAAGAGTCAACAGGGGTAACCTTGAAGAAATGAGAAGGTCCTAACAGGCGCCGTGATGGATGGAGAAGAGCCAGGTTGAACTCCGCACCAGGTCAGGCGTCTCAGTGAGGGTGGATAAAAATGGGAGGAAAAAGAAAAAACCCTCTATATCGCCTTCGGGTTTTGGAAATAAAGTGGGCTATCTGAGTATCCTGTATTCCGTTTCACACCTGCAGGAACAAGAGCCTGCTGGTTGGATACCCAAAACAGGATTGCTCACAAGAAAAAGATGGGAGAAGGCAGAAGCCCAAAATTTGGAACATAAATAATAGAGGGGAAAACCCCCTAAGAAGGTTGACCACAGGTAGCATTGCAATAGACGACAGCCTCTGGTGATATCTTATGCTCCTCTAATCCGGCACCCACACTTCAGTCCAAAGCTCACATGCCTGATGCACGCTGGCGATGTATTGCAATATTTTCTAATAGGTAGGGGTGGGAGGGTGAGCCACTCTGGCCTTCCAGGTATTCCTCCCCCGCATAACTTAAAAGCGTAGAGACTCATCCTGACATCGCCAACACCCAAGTCCCAAAGACAGTCCCCTGATGTGTGTGACAGACGTCTATGCCCATGCCTTCTTGACCAACTTGTAGGGATGGCTCAGGGAGGGGGGACCCTTTTTATCCAAAGGGACACCTGCAGCAACTCAGTCTTGGGTGAGTGGGTGGGGTTGTTGTTTTTTATAAAGCCTAACTCGCCGAGGGGGTCCACGTCTCTTGAGCCAGAGGTGGGGAGTCAACATCCCTTCTGGGAGAAGAGCCACCCAGGGGTGGGGGGTCGCCTTGGGCGAGCTGAGCGGTGTCCCCAGGGCACCCCTGGCAGAAGGAAAGGGGAAACCCCTTCGGAGCCATCTCTGCCTAGGAGCCCCCTGAAAAGGGTGGCCCCAAGTGTCGGTGTG